AGCAAATCAAAGAACTTGAAGATTAGAAGACTGTATGGATCCTATAATTTACCCTATACCTACCCAAACGATCGAAAATGAAAATTACTTACCCACATCAGAACATCAAAAAGCAAATACCCAGATGAGCAAATCAAAGAACTTGAAGATTAGAAGACTGTATGGATCCTATAATTTACCCTATACCTACCCAAACGATCGAAAATGAAAATTACTTACCCACATCAGAACATCAAAAAGCAAATACCCAGATGAGCAAATCAAAGAACTTGAAGATTAGAAGACTGTATGGATCCTATAATTTACCCTATACCTACCCAAACGATCGAAAATGAAAATTACTTACCCACATCAGAACATCAAAAAGCAAATACCCAGATGAGCAAATCAAAGAACTTGAAGATTATATTAGTACATGGATCCTCTAATTTCCCCTGTATCTACCCAAACAATTGAAAATGAGAATTATCCACGTCAAAACATCAAGAAATTCAAAGACTACGATGAGCAAATCAAAGAAGTTGAAGATAAGAAGAGTATATGCAGCCTCCAATTTCTCCTGTATCCAACCAAACCATTGAAAATGAGAATTACCCGATCAAAACATCAAAAAAACAAAAAAAAACAAAGACGCGTATGAGAAGATTAAGGAACTTGAAGATTAGAACAGTACGGAGACTAATTTACTTACTGTCTGAGAGTGCCAGAGGTGAACATCTCAGTCACAAAGTTGATGTTCCTGTTGGCAGTATCTACCCAAGAAGTGTAGAACTTCATGATGTTGTTGTGTTTTAAGGTCTTGAGCAGATGAATTTCACGATACAACCTCTCAAGATCTTCAGGCCTTTGCAGGAAATCATAAAGCCTTACCTGATTCCAGGCTACTTCAATCCCTTCATACTCATCAAAAGCTCTATAACTGCAAAAACAACAAACCAGAAAAGAAAAAAGAAACCATGAAATGGCAAGGTATGTAGGAAAATGTACCAATTAAGAGAGGGAAAACAAAAAAAAAAAAATCACACTGCCAGAAAAAGTTCAAATTCTGCAGAAATTTGAAAAGGGTATGCAGAAAGAAGATTCATACACTGTCTTTGAAGCTCCTTTACCAAGAATTTCACTGTACTGCAAAAAATAAAAACAGAAAGTGAATCAGAGAAAGAGAAAGCAAGAACCAAAAGTAAAGAAAACAAGGCATACCCTTCCATATCTTCCAGTAGGATCAACTTCAACAAACTCAGAGTACTCTGGTTCATGGGCAGAAACACCATTCATTCCTTAATTTCTATGAATAGTTGAATCTTTTGTGTTGGAATCTTCTCAATCAGGAATGTTTTGTCTTTGATTTTGAAGGAAAGTAGGGAGAGAAGATCAGGTGGTCATCCCAAATTAATAGAAGAAATTGAGAGTGAAAATGTCATAGTGAAAAATGTAGTTTGCGAAGAAGAAGAGACTTCGGTCAGTCCATCAAAAGGACAAGGGTTTCCCAACAACTCATTCATCATCAGAGACAACGAGGCAAAAAGATTTCTTCAAGGCTATGGACTAAATAAAAATAAAACACAAATCAAGACAAAATTTTGTCCTCATCAACACCTAACCCACTTTCGCCCCATCACTCCCTCAGATTTGTCTCTCTCTCTACCTCTCATCTATCTCTCTCTCTCTCTCTCTCTCTCTCTCTCTCTCTCTCATAACCCCACAAACCCACCATCACCATCTTCTTCTTTCTTTTTCTTCCCTTTTCTTATTCTTTCTTCTTCCTCACCATCATCATCTCACCACCGGCATCACTATTTTCTCTCCATCCGACGAATCTCCGGCGACCACCATTTTTTCTGGTGAATTTCCTTTCTTCTTCTCTCTTTCTCCACTTTTTCAAGGTAAATTGCCTTTTTGTGTAGATTTGTGGGTATAGGAGTGGATATGTACAAATTTTTGGTGTTGTTCATCTATGGTTCATCTTAAAAAAATAAAAAATAAAAAAAAATCGCATGGAGAAGTCGACCACCACACGTGCGGCCATCTTCGGTACACGTGCGGCCAAGTACACCAAAAAAAAATTAAAAAAAAATAATAATAAAATAAAAAAAAATCTGTTTAGTATTCTATTGTATTTTATTTTATTTATTTAGTCGTTTCTTTTTTCTTTTTTTATTTTTATTAATTACTTCGTTACTAGTTTAGGTTATTTAAATACTTTAGTTCTGTTAGTTTAATTATTCAGTCATTAGTTAAATATAAAAAAAAAAGAAAAGAAAAAAAGACAAGGGTTTAGTTTAGTTTATTTTATTCTTTAGTTTAGTTTATTTTATAGTTTATTTTATTCTATAGTTTCATTTATAGTTTATTTTGTTTTAGTTTCTGTTATTTTATTTTCTTCTTTCATTTTCTACTTGATAGTTTAGGTTGTTTAAATAGTTTAGTTCTATTAGTTTAATTTTTTAGTCATTAGTTATTTGGTCTTTAATTATTTAGTCAGTATTTAGTTTATTTCTTTTAGTTTATATATATTTAAACTGAGAATTGTATGTGGTTTATTGGTGGGCAAACTTGTGCTTTCATATTTTACTTTATTCTCATGATTGGTTCCATGGGTTTGTGTCTATTTGCTTTTGGTGTGTACAGGATATGAGTCGACGTGTATCTGTTCGGGCCTCCAAAAAGGCCAGAGGTTCCACCTCTTCGGCGCCACCACTGCCACCGTCACCACCACCGGGTGACTTGCCACGGCCGAAGTGGGCTTCACGCCCTCTTCACAAGCTCACGCAGTTCAACATTTCATATTTTCGACGTGACCTGGCCACCTCTTGGGCCGTTGAGCAGCTCCAACTCCAGCAACAGTTGGGCATTTACACCGTGACAGCGCCTACTTATCCTCGTCTGGTACGACTCTTCTACTAGAACCTACGTGAGTCACTCACCGAGCCCGAGCTGCTGTCCACCATTGATGGCCATCTCGTCAGCATCACCGAATCCATGACTACTGACGCGTTGGGGTTTTTCGCCATGCCAGAATATCAGCCCTTCCCGGAAGTTGAGGATCGACAACCCATACATAGCCTCATCCAGCAATACTTCCCGGGGGCCCACGGTGACCCCAGTTTCACATGCTTGCGGCGGAGCAAGCTACCTAGCCGCTTGCTATTCATTGATTCCGTGGTCCATAAAAATGCCCTTCCACTTGGGCATAGAGCTGAGCGCCGTTTGGAGTTTGTTCGGGTTTTACATGGTTATCAGCATGGCTATCAGGTCTAGCTTGAGCATATCATCTGGATGCATGTGCAGAAATTTCAACGAGAGGTCGTTCGGCCTGACCCTATGAAGAACCTAACTTGGCCACTACCATTTGCTAATTTGTTGACACTTGTCTTTGAGCTGAACGACCTACCCATTGCTTCAGATGAGGAGATTGATAGAGCGTATCTGGCTTTCGGCCAGCGGGAATGGCAGCATAGCATATCTCTCATCCCGCAGCAAGTTGGTGCCCCGATTGATGAGGTGCAGGACCCCGTACATGACCACCTACCTCATCCTGTTCCCCCTATGCGTCCCCAAGGGGACCCATTCTACATGACTCGCAAGGAGTACCTACAGCTTCAGCACTCTGTGGATCAGGTCCACAGCACTCTTTGTGATCACCACCAGAGTCTCATGGCGTTGCACACGGAAATTTAGGCGCATCGAGACTATTCTCAAGCGGCCTTTGACTAACTACATGCCCGCCTGCTCGAAATCCAGCAGCGTTTCGATCAGCTCGGCCAGCAGGTTCAGGATGAGGCCTTTGAGACGTGATCTTTGATGAATGTCTTGTTTGCCCAGCATTTCCCACCGCCACTGGATTCTCCGTAGTACCCGCATGTATATTGCTTTGTCTCTTTTATTTTTATTTTTATTTTTCTTTTTAGTTCTTTCTTCTTTTCAAAAAAAAAAACAGAAAACAAAATGTGTGAAGTGTGTATCTGTTACTCTCTGCCTACCTGGATGTGCACTTACAATTTCTGGTAATATTCTCTCATTTCTCTTTACTTTTCCATTGAGGACAATGTCATATTCAAGTTGGGGGATGAGGGTTATATTTTCTTTTGTGCATTTCTATTTGGCACATGATTCATGCTTATACCTGTTTCACTTGATTGCATTACTTCACTTTATGTGACTTTTTGCTAGTACGGTGATGATATTTGCATATGTTAATTGGAGAGCATAGTAGACTTGTATGAAAAGGGTTTATTGGGTAGATACTTGCATGCGATGTTTGCACGAGGAGAGTTGTTTGTGTTTGTGGTATTAGTACACTTGTCATGAGTATGCCTTAATTCACATGAACACACTATCATAGCGGTGTACATCATTGATAATAGCTTGAGTTGTGGAAAAGAATAAATGACGAGCCAAGATTCTTTATAAAAAAAATAAAAAAATAAAAACTTGACTTGTTTGGGTTCGTAGCCTTTTTAACTCGAGTTATTAAGCCCGTATAGGTGTCTCTACACCTAATGCCCTAAAACTGTCTGGTTTGGGAGTCATTGGCCCAATACTTGCTACATGCGTAAATAAGAAAGCTTAAGGGACTTGAACATTTCACAGTTAAGGAGAAATAAGAAGAATGACTTGTTCGGATTCGTAGACTTTTTAACTTGAGTTATTAAGCCCGTAGGGGTGTCTTTACATCTGGTAAAACCATATGGTTTGGGAGTCATTGGCCCAATGCTTGCTACATGGGTTGATTAGAAAGCTTAATGGATCAAGACATTGCACAGTCATCAAAAAAAAAAACCAACAACTTTTGAGAATCTTGGTTGCAACAATTAGTTTTTCTATATATTTTGGGTGTTATTATGAGTTATATTGGGCTATTATAGTGGACAGTTAACTAATATGGAGATTGCACTTTACACCGAGGGTACTCGTGATTTGTCTACTACCATGCACAAGTACAGGAGACTTTACTTTTGTATTAACCGAATTGTGGTTTTGACTCAATAGGTTCCTTCATGCTTGTCCACTGTGCCTTTAATGACTCATTATGTCTCAATATCACACTGCAGTGGCACATAAGTTGATTGTTAGGTGGAGTAGTCTGGTCAATTGTTTTTAAGTATATATGAATATCTTAATGTTTGTGGGTATCATTTCTGGAAACCCTCACGAGACTTTACTCGTCCACTTAGGGCAACCTTGTGGTTTAAAGGCTTGTTGCATATACTAAATGCAATCGTTTTCCCACGAAAGAGGAAATAGTTAGATTTTGTTTAATTTAATTTTATTTTTGTTACTTGCTTGAGGACTAGCAAGTTGTAAGTTGGGGGATGTAATTAAGGCTGAATTGTACATTATTGAGGCCGTTAATTAGGATCTCTCAACTCCACTTGCTTGTCAAACTATATACTTTATGTGTGTTGAATGTCAATCAGGTTGTACCTAGTCAGAGCATAAAATGGGCAAAAAGACAGAATTTGGAGAGAGTTGACTTTACAGCACGTGCATTGACTTTGTTCACACATGCGTTGACTTTCCTGCACGTGCGTTGACTTTTTTGGGAAAATGTGCCCGAAGTTTTAAACCTGTTTGGGAAGAGAGCAGAAGTATGAATAGAGAAGAAAAAGGCTGTATTAGGGTTCCGAACTTGCTTTTACAAAAGAGAGAGGCTAAGGTTTGGGAAAGAAAGAAACTTGAAGCTTCAAGCACGTCTCCCATGGTGGCTTCTTCTCCATCTACCTCCTTTCACTCCTCCATGAGTGGCTAGTCTCATTTTCTAGGGTTTTGATGAAACCCTAGTCATGTAATTAGTTTTTCTTTTTGATTTTCAATTATGTAAAGGTTTGAAAATTTGTATGGTGTTTTAGAAGTTTCTTATATATAATTTTCATTATTTCTTCAAGTATTCGGCTTTCTGTGATTGTTGAATGTCTTCCATACAAGAGTTTTCTTTTTCTTTCACATTCAAGGTATGAGACGAACCACACTACAATGGACGAGTCGTGTCACTACCTTAGTTTAGAGTGAACGATTCGTACTACTTTGAGATGGTTCGTGCTTGTGCATTGAATGTGATGATCTTCTTGTTAAATGCTTTGAGCTTGCAGTTGCGAAGCATTAATCTGTTCAAACCATAGCATAACTGATTTCAACCTTTTTTACGTGACTAGTGGTGGACTCTTTACCCTAGGTTTTTCCCCAAATCAATAAATCCAATTTCATTTATTATTGATAATTTCATTCCTTAGTTTAATTTATTTGTTATTAAATTAGGTTATGAACAATAAATCTTTTCATCAAAATTAATTTCGGAATTTAACAATTAAATTAGTTTAATTTTACAATTGTCCCTGTGGATCGATACCTGGACTTGCCATTATTCTAAAAGAATTTGATGTAGTTTAGTGTTTATATTTGGTGTGTTTAACGACCCATCAAATTTTGACTCAAATTTCATTCTTCAGACATCAGCAGGATCCATAAATTTAGCATGTCTAGTTACAAGTTACTTTAATCTTCAAAATTGGACATAAAGAAGCTTCCCAAAGAAGCCAACATATTGTAGCTAAGGCTAGTGCAATTAATGGCCCGTTATGTCATTATAGAGAAAAAATTTTAAATATGAGAGAGAGAGAGAGAGAGAGAGAGAGAGAGCACATATTATCACTTCATAATTCCAAACTAATATGCTAGCAAAAGTTAGTGGAAGCTCATTCTGCTCCTTCAAATGTCAAGCAGTCAATTCTCAGAATGAATGTTCTCATAATACCAATGCCTAGCCCAAATGATCCCCTTGGTGATCTCATTAAGTATAATTGTTGACCTTCTTACAGTTAGACAAAAATAAGTGAAATGAAGAAGGCTTTTCAGCTTCATGTCTGCTAACCTCCTCAAGCGGTGATGTTGCACAAAGAATAAAATGATTCTTGTAACTAAGAAAAATATAAGAAAACTACGTATTACGCTTCCAGTAGTTGAAACAAACAAATTAAACAAACTTACGAAGGATTCCTGTATAATAAGAAAGAGGCGCATCTACATTTTGAATTTTAAATACGCTCTGTGGGTCTTTAATGACACTATATTCTTCCCATCCACTCATTCACCAAACCAAGTCACCTTTCTTAAAGTTTGGATGTCCAGAATCCAAAACTCTAACCACTCCATATCCAGTTATAGGCTGCAAATTTGCTTAAAACATCAATAGGAAAAGTCACTAGCAATAAGAAAACAAGAAAAGTCACTCATACAAACCTATGATTTATCAGAAAACCACAAAAATCCTAAATACTGGAGCTAACACAAACAATCTTGGCCTTTACTTATAAATATATATACACAATCTTGGCCTTTGAGTTGACTAAGGAACCTTGTTTTAACTTTTGCCAATTGGTGGTTTCAAGTGGCTGGTTTCACTACAAGAAATTGTACTTTTGGCGACTAAATTTTTAGTCGCCAAAAGGTTTTTAGTCGCAAAATATTTTCCTGACTAAATATTTTGGTCACCGCATTTGTCGCAGGAAGGTTGTCGAGGAAAGTATTGGTGACTAAAAAATATTTTAGTCGCCAAAAGTTCTATAAATGGCAGCTAATATTTTTAGTCGCCAAAGGGTATTTTTTTCATCTTATTTTATTATTATTATTTTTTTAACTACTCAATTCTTAGTCACCTAAAGTCTACTTGTATTTTAGCTACTAAATATTTAGTAGCCAAAAGTTTTTCTCCATTTTATTTTTATTTTTAGCTACTAAATATTTAGTAGCCAAAAGTTTTTTTTCCTTTTTTTTTTTATTTTTAGCTACTAACATGACAGTTGTATTTAAATAAAGAATTAGAAAATTACAAGCTTGGGTGGGATGACAGTTCCATTGCTTGGGTGGGATTTATTCCAAACAATATCTAAATAAATATAATTTGTATACAGAACAAATTATCCACAATTTTTTTTTTTTTCTGTCAAGCCATAAATCAACACAATGAGACAAACTCAGAACATTTATAATCAAGTTTTCGGTGAGATTCCACCCCAGATCTCAACTAACCTTATCCCAAATCTAGGTGAACTTCTGCAAATTGGCCTACATTGTAAAGCCATTTATCAAAAGATTAAAATGACAGCTAGCTAAGAAAACAATGGTTGCAACACCCTTAGTGTCCAAATCTGAACCACTTTCATTCACAAGATGTTGCTCTCATCAGAAAACTAGTGTTCCTGTGCCACACAACTGGATAAGGATGCAAAGAATAATCCACAAACTCAAAAACTACAAATCCAGCATTCCCTTCTCTATCATTAAGCAAAAGCAAGCAATCAGACGAGCATGTTGTTGTAGGTGCTGCAATTTCTGTCTCTTTGCCATCTCTTCGTTTTGTCGTTGTTGTTGCCTTTTTTTCTTGTCTGGAACTCATGCAATGATTCATATTTAGGCAAACTATGCAATCAAAGAACAGGAAAGATTAATTTAAGATAAACAAAACTGAGACACCTTTATTTGACAAGCGAAGATCAGTCAAAATATTAATAGAGAGGCTTCAGGAAACTTCAATTGGAGGTGTAAACATATGAAATGCAGAAGGTTTGGCACACTATGACTGAATTTTCCAAGTCCCGTTGAAGGTATATGATTATTACCAAATCTTTTCCTTAGTACAATGAATCAGTAAGTAAAATTCATGCAGCATAGCAACGAAGAAAGATGTGAGACATACCTTCTAGGATTGCAAGGTATGGGGTCAGTCCAAAAATATTTAGCACCAAGGGCATCCTTTGCAAATATTCTTTGCGTGAAATGGAAAAGGGAAAAGGGAAAAGGGAAAAAAAATAAAAAAAAAATTCAAGGAATTGAAAGTTGTAGAACAAAAATGAAAAATATATACATAGAACTGCACCAAATCTAATCATCTGTGCTCATAAGTTCATGGCCTTTCTAATCGAGTTTTTGGAAACAGAAATGCAAAATGCAGTCACCAAAAGCTACCAAAAATCAACAATCCCTGAAGACACAAAGATGAAACCATCATGATCCTCAACTGTATATAAAAATGTGTCATTAATTAGATGATTTAGGATGAATGTGTTTTGATGGGATATTGGAATCAGACTATTTTCAGATTATGCAAGCCACCTCAATTATTAAATTATAAGCTCATAAGGATTTTACAATGAAGCGGTGGAATGTATCATTTCCCCAAATTATACTCGCAAAAAAATAATCATCCTCCTAGTCCTTCCAAAGCCCAACTTTGTTTGATATGCCTTAATTTCAATGCAACTAGCTAATCCTTTCTCTGTCAAGAAGAACTCTCTAGCCAGTTGTAGCAATAAGGAGTTTCTTGCAACTAAGGTTTTAAATCCTATTTTATGGAGCACTATAAATACCCAATACCTTGGATACATGGTTGCTTACCCAACAAGATCTAAACTTTTAATTCAATTTTTATTTTATTTGTTTACATGTAAATTTTTTATTTATTTTCTGAATAAACAATTAGGGCATGAAAAGCATCCAAAATCATTATGTTCCATTTAATTTAATGAAATATATATTTAGTGTACTTAATCACAAAGTCAGTCAAAAAATGGATCTCGGTTTTATTTTTTAAAAGATTGAATTTTGGTAGACCTATAACAACTAATAAAGGGTTAGCATTTTCTCCACACCCTTTTTGCAATAAGTCAAAACTCAGATTTATATTGTCATTTTCCAAACTAATAAAGTAAGTCATTTTATTGACATTGTACTGTCAGTTTCTCCAAACTAATGAAGTAAAAAAATCATCATTTAGTTTGTCAATAAACTAATCATTTTAGTCTAAAATTTATGGACAAACTAAAATCCTTCCACACCCTGTTGCTAGACCTAAAACAAACTAACAAATTTTGGTACATCACATTATCGCATAATTGTGTTCACTGGCACACCTAAATAAAAATGCTATGGCTATGAAGTGTCTGATAGTCTATAATAACAAGTTCACTAAGCCTGAGATTTATGTGTACCTGAGGTCGATCAAGGGTTAGCATTTTCTCTAGTAAATCCAGTGCATGACGGTCAAAATTGCAAAGCAATATAAGAATTATGGATATCAAACTTCTTGCACTAAAATGGACACCAAAAAATCCAAGTCTAACTAACAACTTCAATTTGTATACTTACTGTGTAAAAACCTCCCTCACTCGCCTCTTCATCGGCCTTGTTGGCTTGAACTTGTTATACCAGGGAATCTTGGAAACCCCAGGCCAAATAATCTCATCTGGAGATTTGCATAGCTCAAATATCTTATTCAATTGTTCAGGCTGTGGTAAATATTCAACAAATATAACAATGCATTAATTATACATAACCTAGATGAAACTTAAATTCTATGAATTTTTCATCTTCAACACCCTGTTCCAGCTAATTACAAACTAAATCATTAAAGTCCTTCATCTTGGTGGGGTTGCAATATTTTATCAGGGCTTTAAAAATATGTCAAATAATAAAGATTTCTTTCATCGCTAGGCTGGTGAATGTAGATATAGATCTTCTACAAGAAACTAAGGTGGCAAGGATAATTGGGGTACAATAAATGCATCTGCATTAAATAATCTGAAACTACATAATTTGTATTGGCACTTAAGATGCATAAAAACTAAAGAACAAACACAATTAAAACATAAATGTCTGAAAAAATAAACCTGACCTAAAAATGATCAAGAAAAGGCCATAACAAGGGCACACATTTAATCTTGATGGAGCTTCCGTGGGTGATGGAGATGCTTTAAAAGTCCATAACTTGTCAATCTTGAACCAGAACAGGGCACACATTCACAAATATTCACTAGTATGTATGCAGAATTTTCAAAAAAGACTGGAGAAGTTAACGCAATTAGATTCAATATTTGATTAAGAAACACAAATAGAAGTCCAAAACATTGAAATTAGAATGTAGACCAAATCAGAATCCAAAACCTAAAATCTATAGGCCATAATATAACATATCTCTAAAAATCCAAAACCTAAATTCTCCATTTCTTTTCAATGAAGAGCTTGACAAGTGTAGATTTCCAAAAATCCAATACATACATACACAAATTGAAAGAGAGAGAGAGAGAGAGTTTACTGACTGAATAAGATCTTGGAGCTGTTGAGCGCGAGAGCGAGGGTTAATGCCCTTACGGAGGACATTGTCGTGCATATGATGTTTTTGGACTCGATCTAATCGTTCACCCATCTTACATCCTCTGCTATCAGCGAGATCATTTCTCTTCCAGACACGACGGCTTCGGCGGTGGTTAAGGCTGCGGGAGAGGGGCAAGAACAAGAAAGAGGAGGAGAAGGAGAGAGATAGGACAAAGAAGAAGGTCGTGGCCACAGCAATAGTAGCCGAGAGCTCCAGAACAGGCACCAGAGAGGGAGACGGACGCTAGAGAGAGACAGACAGAGAGGCGTTGGTTTGTTTGGTTTGGAAACCAAATATATATATATATATATTACACCGTTAGCGACTAAAATTTTTAGTCGCCAATTAATTTATTTTATTTAACCCTCCAGAATTTGAAAGGTTTCCCGCCAAATATTTTAGCTTTTTGGCGATTAAATTTTTTTGTCGTTGAAAGTATGTTTTTGGAGACCAAACTTTTGGTCGCCAAAACATAAAAAATAATTTTTTATTTTTCGTTCGGCGACCAAATGATTTTAGTTGCCAAAACTCACTATATAGCGACTAAAATATTTTTTGTCGCTAAAAATATGTTTTTGGTGACCAAACTTTTGGTCGCCAAAGATAACAAATAATTTTTTATTTTACATTTGGCGACTAAATCGTTTTTAGTAGCCAAAACTCAACATATGGCGACTAAAATAATTTTTTTGTCGCCAATTCTAGTATTTTTAGCGACTAAATTTTTTTGTAGTCGCCAATAATTAATATACCCTGACTAAAAAAAATTAGTAGCTAAATATTGTACTTTTGCTGGCTAAAAAAATTTTTGGTCGCCAAATCAATGACTTTTGGCGACTAAATTTTTTTTAGTCGCCAATTTTGGTCGCCAAAGGTACATTTTTTTGTAGCGAATTAGTGGAAACTGCCAGTCCAAAAATAAGAAAGGAAGCTATTCATTAAAACATAGTGAAATATAAAGGGAGTTTTATGTATCAAAAAAAAAAATCTATACTCTTTTGTGTGTGTGTGTGTGTGTGTGTGTGTGTGTGTGAGAGAGAGAGAGAGAGAGAGAGAGAGAGAGAAATGAGGGTTTGTAGAGTGAATGGGGTTTGGTATGTTCGGTTTCCAGAGTGTACACTATATAGATGGATAATTTGGGCATTTTATAGGACGTTATTCTTATGGACAAAATATTTTAGAGTGGGGACTTTAGGCAAACAAACTTCAAAATTAGATTTATGGATTGAGTGCCCTACTTTTTATATTTAACACAAAGATAAATCTTGTTTATTTATTTATTCTTTTTTTCTCATTCATCAGCTAAATAAGCTCAAAGGCAACAATTAAAAAATATATTTTAATTAAATAGCCAAAAAAAAAGTGCCTAAAAAAAAGTTGTAGTCTAATTGAGCATAAATGTGTCTCTCAATAGAGGTATTGATAAATTTAGCATAAATACTATTAATGCCTGTATTTCAGGACTCCTTTGGCCATAACTTAAATCATTTTTGATCCTTCATTTTTTTTTTATTTTTTATTTTTGGTTATCAAATTTAAATTTGATAAAAACTAATTTAAAGTAATTTTTAACCCATTTATTAAATGTTCATCAAATTAAGAAAGAGTCATTTTTTTTTTATCAAATTGAGAACTTATCAAATTTAAATTTAATGAAGATTTAAGAGAATGAAGTGTTGGAGAAGAATTTTGGGATAATAGAAAAAATTTTAAAAAGATTTTGATGTCTCGCTCACTTCTCTTCTTTCTCTCTCTCTCTCTCTCATTTCTCTCTCACTCATCACTCTTCTCTTTAGCTCTCTCATCTCTCTCC